ATGTCTATTAGGTCCATCTGTTCTAGTGTGTTGTTCAGTGCCTCTGAGTCCTTACTTATTTTCTGTCTGGTGGATCTGTCCTTTGGAGTGAATGGTGTGTTGAAGTCTCCTAAAATGAATGCATTGCATTCTATTTCCTCCTTTAGTTTTGTTAGTATTTGTTTCACATATGCTGGTACTCCTGTGTTGGATGCATATATATTTATAATGTTTATATCCTCTTGTTGGACTGAGCCCTTTATCATTATGTAATGTCCTTCTTTATCTCGTTACTTTCTTTGTTTTGAAGTCTATTTTGTCTGATACTAGTACTGCAACACCTGCTTTTTTCTCCCTGTTGTTTGCATGAAATATCTTTTTCTATCCCTTGACTTTTAGTCTGTGCATGTCTTTGGGTTTGAGATGAGTCTCTTGTCAGCAGCATATAGATGAGTCTTGTTTTTTTTATCTATTCAGTGACTCTATTTCAGTCTTTTTATTGGTGCATTCAGTCCATTTATATTTAGGGTGATTATTGATAGGTATGTACTTACTGCATTGCAGGCTTTCAATTCGTGGTTACCAATGTTTCAAGGTTAATTTCCTTACTATCTAAGATTCTAACTTAACTCAGTTAGTATACTATTACAAACACAATCTAAAGGTTCTTTTATGTTTCTCCTCCTTTTCTTCCTCCTCCATTCTTTATATATTAGGTATCATATTCTGTACTTTTTGTCTATCCCTTGATTGACTTTGGGGATAGTTAATTTAATTTTTCATTTTCTTAGTAATTAGCTGTTCTACTTTCTTTACTGTAGTTTTATTACCTCTGGTGACAGCTATTAAACCTTAGGAACACTTCCATCTATACCAGTCCCTCCAAAATAGACTGTAGAGATGGTTTGTGGGAGTTAAATTCTCTCAGCTTTTGCATATCTGGAAATTGTTTAATACCACCTTCAAATTTAAATGATATTCTTGCTGTATAAAGTAATCTTGGTTCCACGCCCTTCTGCTTCATGGCATTAAATACAACATGCCACTCCCTTCTGGCCTGTGAGGTTTCTGATGAGAAGCCTGATGTTAGCCTGATGGGCTTTCCTTTGTATGTGATCTTATTTCTGTCTCTGGCTGCTTTTAAAAGTCTGCCCTTATCCTTGATCTTTTCCATTTTAATTACTATGTGTCTTGGTGTTGTCTTCCTTAGGTCCCTTGTGTTGGGAGGTCTGTGGATCTCCATGGCCTGAGAGACTATCTCCTTCCCCAGATTTGGGAAGTTTTCAGCAGCTACCTCCTCAAAGATACTTTCTATCCCTTTCTCTCTCTTCTTCTTCTTCTGGTATCCCTATAATGTGAATATTGTTTCATTTGGACTGGTCACACAGTTCTCTCAATATTCTTTCATTCTTAGAGATCCTTTTTTCTCTCTGTGTCTCAGCTTCTTTCTATTCCTCTTCTCTAGTTTCTATTTCATTTATCATCTCCTCCACCATATCCAACCTGCTTTTAATACCCTCCATTGTGCTCTTCAACGATTGGATCTCTGACCTGAATTCATTCCTGAGTTCTTGGATGTCTTTCCTTACCTCCATTAGCATGTTGATGATTTTTATTTTGAACTCCCTTTCAGGAAGAGTCATGAGATCCATATCATTTAAATCTTTCTTGGGAGTTGTATTAATAATTTTACTCTGGACCAGGTTTCTTTGGTGTTTCATATTTGTATATGGTGCCCTCTAGTGTCCAGCTCTATTCTGGAGCTGCTCAGCCCCTGAAGCAATGTCGGGGGTCGCAGGGGAGCGGTATTGGTGCCTGGGGGGAGGAAAGAGCTGTTCCCTGCTTTCTGGCTGCTGTGCCTGTCTCCACTGCCTGAACCAGTGGACTGAGCACACAGATAAAAGGTTTTGTCCCAGAGCAGCCGGATAAGGATCCCTGCTTTCCACAAGTGGCTAGAATCCCAGTCTCCCCAGGAGCTCTGCCTGTCCTAGCTTTCCAACCCCATAATCAGAAGAATATGATGAAAGCACCATGAAATGTAGGTTTGTGCTCCCAGTGCAGATCTCCGGAGTTAGGTATTCAGCAGTCCCAGGCCTTCCACTCCCTTCCTGTTCCTTTTCTCTTCCTCCTGCCGGTGAGCTGGGGTGGGGGAAGGGCTTGGGTCCCACCAAGCCACAGCTCTGGTATGTTACCCTGTTTGGTGAGGTCTGCTCTTTTCTCCAGGTGTATGCAGTCTGGTGCTGTCCTCTTTCCTGTTGCTCTCTCAGGATTAGTTGCACCAACTATATTTTCTAATTGTATCCAGTTTTAGGAGGGAGCCTCTGTCTCTCCTCTCACGCCACCATGTTTAATCCTTTCCATCTTCCCCATTTCTCTTAAAATCAATTTTTTAATTAGGCTTTCATCCTCACCCACTTCCACTGAGACTGTTCACTTTTATTGGAATTATGAGTGACATTCATGTTGCCAAACCTAATGGCTGCTTTATTCTACTCTCTATTTGTAGCATGTGACATAAGCGACTACGTCTGCATGTGTTTAGTACACCTCAAGCCCTCTTTGACTAAATACTTCCTGTTTTTCCACCCATCACACTGGTTGCTCCCTCTCCGTGATTAATATTGGCATTTCCCAGGGCTAAATCCTTCTCAATCTAAGTACACTTCCTAGATAATTTCACCCAGCTCTATAACTCTTAAGTATCTTGCTATGTCAATAACTCCAAAATCCAACCTCTAGACCAGATTCTCCACTTCAGTCACATATCTAACTACATTTTTTTATATTTCTACAGATTTTACAGGTGTGTAAAAAATATCATATAGCAAAAGAGAACACCTGACTTTCTTGTACAACTGCTCCTCTCCTGGTGTTATCCTTCAACCTGAATGCCATATACTCTTCCCCTCACTTACTACACTCCAGTCACATTTGCTTTTTCTGTTCCTCAAGCATTTCATGGTCACTTCTGTTTCACTCCTCTCTCAGATCATCACAGGGCTGGCACATTCTTGCCATTCAGATCTCAAATGACATACTCTTCTTCAGTGAGGGTTTTTCAGGCTACCTAATTAAAACCATCACCAATCTCTATCACATTATCTGTTTAAATTATCTGTACAGAACTAACCACAAATTTTTCATTTGTTTCCTAATTGTCCTGCCTCCCTTTAGAATGCAGCCCTCATGAGAGCAGGAACAGCTTCTGTCTTGTTCTTCACTGTACTCCCAGTACCTAAAATAGTATCTAAACATAGTTGGCACAATAAATGTTGTAAGATAAAACAGTGAAAACTTAAAAATAAAACTTTCTTTAGTGTGTCAGTATAGTTCATGGATTCTTTTATCAATTTTTCTGGGAAAATGTCATTCCAAAGAATATCTTAAGACACCACCTTTTCATTACCTTTTGTATCTCTTCTATCCTTTGAACTGATTCTTCAGAACACTATAGGTTCGCTGTAGTCTTCTATATGGCTGAGCACTGGTCTCAGAATTCTGTTTGATATGAAAAAATGTCTTTATTAAACTTACCCAACTTACATAAAAGTCCATCATAAAAAGGTTTTTAAATAATTTTTAAGCATAACAAAATTTAGAGCTTTGTAACAAAAATGTACATAACAAATGTTAAACTCCACAAATTGTTTCTAAAAGACAGCAACTTAAAGAATAAATAAAACAATCACTTTTAATTCTAGTAAAGAAGTTAAAAGACAAAAGTATACTATAAAAATGTTAATAGATAAACAATATAAAAAGATGTAATTTGTGACATCTATGAGAAAGTGTGATGGGAAAAAAAGAAAAGTAGAGTTTTGAAACTAAGTTGTTATCCACTTAAAACACTGTTAAAACCATAGATGTCGTCGTACCTAAGACCCATGGTAAGCACAAAGAAAACACCTGTGGAAGATACACAAAAGGGAATGAAAAAGGAAACAAAGCATGTCAATACGAAAACAAAAAACACACAAAGGAAGAGGAAAGGAAGTGACAAAAAGCTACAAGACAGAAAAAAAAAATTAACAAAGTGATGATAACAAATCCTTCCTTATCAGTAATTATTTTAAATGCAAATGAATTAAAGTCATCAATCAAGAAATAGAGTGGCTAAAAAAAAAAAAAAGAAATAGAGTGGCTAAATGGATTTGAAAAAAAAAGATCTGACTATATGCCATCTATAATAGACTCACTTACATTATTTAAGGACATACCTAGGCCTAAAGTGAAAGACTGGAAAAAGATACACCATGCAAACAGTAACCAAAAGAGAGTAGAAGTGATATCAGACAAAAATAAGTTTTAAGTCAAAAACTGACAAGAGACAATGAAAGGGCATTGCATAATGATAAGAGCGTCAATCTATTAGGAGATAATAACAATTATAAGTATGTATACACCCAACATCACAGCACTCAAATATTTGAAACAAACATTGATGGAACTGAAGAGAAAAATAGCAACAAGGTAATAGTATGATATTTCAATACCCTAGTTATCAATAATGGATAGAACATTCTGACAGATCAGTAAGAAAAAAGACAACTTGAATAACACAATACACCATATCAACTTAACAGACATGTACAAAATAGCCCACCCAACACAAGTAGAATACACATTCTTCTTAACTGTCCATCAAACATTCTCTAGGACAGATCACATGGAAGGTCACAAAACAAGTCTTAAGAACTTACAAAGAGTGAAATCACACCAAGTATCACTTCTGACCACAGTGGAATGAAAGAGCAATCAGTAACACAAGGAAAACTGGAAAAATGCACTACTGTGTGGAAGTTAAACAACACACTCTTGAACAATCAATGAGTCAAAGAAGAAATTAAGGGAGATTAGGTAGTATCTTGAGAAAAAACGTAACACAGCAAAATTTATGGGATACAATAAAAGAAGTTTACAGTGGTAAATACTAGATCAAAAAAAAAGTCTCAAATAAAGACCCTAACCTTACACCTAAAGAACCAGAAAAGAAAAAAATAACCCCAAGGTTGGCAGAAGGGAGAAAATAATAAAAATTAGAAATAAAAATAGAGATAGAAAACAATAGAAAAAAAATGAAACAAAGAGATTTTAGAAAACTTCAACAAAATAAAAGAAAAACTTTTGACTAAGGGAAGAAAAACTCAAATAGAAATCAGAAAAGAGGAAATAATACAACTGGCACCACAAAACTACAAAAATACTAAGGATCATAGGAGACTACCAGGAACAATGAAATACCAATTAGATAATCTACAAGAAATGGATAAATTCCTAGAAACATATAACCAACCAAGACTGAAGGATGAAGAAATAGAAAATCTGAATACAGCCCAGTTTGAAAAAGACATATGCACCCCTGTTTATCATAGCACTATTTACAATAGCCAAGACATGGAAGCAACTTAAGTGTCCATCAGTAGATGAATGAATAAAGAAGATGTGGTACATATACACAATGTAATATTATGTAGCCATAATAAGAAAACAAATCCTACTATTTGCAACAACATGGATGGAGCTAGAGGGTATTATGCTCAGTAAATAAGCCAGGCAGAAAAAGACAAGTATCAAATGATTTCACTCATATGTGGAGTATAAGAACAAAGAAAAAAACTGAAAGGAACAAAACATCAGC